CGCTCCCCACCTGGGTAGAGCCCCCCGCTCCAGTACAGCCCCACCTGCACCCCTGCCCCAACAGAACCCCCTTCTTTGCCCTGGATCTTCCACCCAAGACTCCCCATTTCTGCTGGGAACCCCCACCCCAGGATGCCCCCAATGTGGCCAGGACCCCCCTGGCAGCCCAGGACCCCCCGGTAGCCCCCACGCTGAGACCCCCCACTCCACCAGCCATAGCCCTGCCAGCCCCCATACTACACCCTGTGTGCCCCCGCACCTCTGGGGTCCTCCCTGGGACCTCTCCACCATGTCCTGGCCCAACTGAGCTCTGGCAGCTACAAGCACCCCAAGGTGCCGCAATAAGGGGGGAGTCCCCTCCAGGGGAGAGGTGTCAGGCATCCCCAGGGATGGGGAGGGGATGACACTGTGGGTGCCAGCCATCTGCCAGAGTGCTGCCTGCACCCGCTCCCGCCCCAGCTCCAGGGGCCGACCCTGAGCTCCAGCCCCAGGGAAGGGTGCGTGGGGCTGGGCCAGGACACCCACTAGCCCATGGGCCAGCACACTGTGGGTCAGCACGGGGGAGGAAGGGTCTTGCGAAGGCAGGGAGAATTTTGTTATTTTGCAAGTCCAGCTGTATCAGGGACACCCCTTTGTGTCCGGTGGGTAGCTGGTGTGTGGGTGCAGGGCTGGCCTCAAGATTTAGTTTGGATGTTACAGAGATGTGGCTCCTGCACCGCTGATGCTCCTACTTCCAGGTAGGAGACAGTGAAGACCACCTCGGCCCACAGCTGAGCAACGTGATGCTTTTCCCATCACCTCGAAGGCGATGGGATGTACAAAGTTGCCAGCAGAACCAGGCATCCCATCGCTGAGCCCGCCGCACCACCCCACATCCCCTCCTGTCTGCCCCACCTGCGGTCCAGGCCCAGGGAGGCCAGCTGAGCTCCACACCTCCATCACCAGCACAGCGGTGGGAACATGAGGCTGGCTGGGTTGCTTCGCACATCAGTGGCCATGGGGCTCCCTGCTCTGCCCATGCGGTGGCACCCAGCACCAGCCCTGCCTGTCCCCCACGAGCAGCGGGGCGAGCGCAGGCAGCTGCCGGCGCGGTGCTGCACACGCGCTGTCTCTCCTGAGCGCACGCTGCCTGCCAGATTACTCAGTTCAGCCTGGGCACACGCCGGCTGGCTGGGAGGGATGGGACAAGGCAAGGAGTGTTTGAGGTCGGCCAGTTTTCCCTGGTTTAGGCAGACCAGGAAGTCTTAGGTAACTTTGAAAAGACACTCGGTGTTCATCCCTTGGCAGCCAGGCCAACTCGCAAGGAGGTGCCCACACTAATGGCAAGGATGCTGTGTCCATCGCTTGCCTGGCCACATGCAAGCCAAAAGCATGAAACCCCAGCCCCAAATCCACTTTTCCCCATTTTACCATGCTGGAAGCATTACCAGGGCTATCGAGCTTATCAGCGGCAGAGCTGGGAATAAAACCGCCTGAGACCTTGGAGGCTGTGTCTCCCCCAACAGCAGCTCCTGCACAGAAGCAATCCCAGCCTCTGCAGCTGCTCAGCGCTTTTCCTTCCAAAGCTGAACAGCTGCTTCGGGAAGCCACAAACACCATGAGCTCACACGGACTGGCCCGACCGGCTGTGGTGGGAGACCTACGTGTGACCGCTCAGCTCTGGTATGATAGTTACATATTTTCAAGCTGGTTTTGGAAAACAGCCTCTCCAAAAAAAAACCTAGCAGGGCAAAGGGCAAAGGAAGCAGCGTCCAAGATAAGGAGCCTGCTCGCCAGCTGAGTGGCTCAGGAGGACGCCCTGGGTGGGAGCTGTGCACGGGCCATGGCTGCTCCTGGCTGGACGCACAGCCGGCGACGGCACATCGTGTGGCGCTGCCAACTGCGCCCACACCTCTGTATTAGCAGCAAGAGCAACTTGCAATTTATACCATTTATGCAACTTCCATTTATCCAAATTAAAAGCATCCCCCAGGAGTCTGGCAGGTCACCAAGCTCTCGGCTGAGCAATGCCTGGGCTCCGACTCATCGTATTTTTAATTTCATCTTCCCCTGCTTCATGATGAAATACTTAAGAGTAATTGTTTAAGCAGTCAAGAATTCCAATCCCATGTCCAGAAGCCCTGGCAGACATCAGGGGAATGGACGGACGAAGCTTCACAGCGCTTCCCACACCGGTTATTATCCCATTTTCTGACCCAAGCACGGAGAGGCAGTGGGTTGTTTTCTGGTTCATGCTGTGAGTCACCCCTCAAGCCTAACCCTACCTGTCCACAGCTCAGCCCTGTAAACAGCAGACCGTAAAAGCGATCTGTGTCACAGATAGCATCAGCGAGCGATCCTGCCCCCGCTGCCTCCGCCACTCCCTGTGCCTGCCGGCTCAACGCCTGCGCCTCTGCCTGCAAACCCAGCATGGCTCGGGCTGCACAGACACCCCGTGACACGGCTGTCACAGAGCCGCCGGCTGACCTAGAGCTGCGGCAAGCCGGGAGGGCCTGCCCGGGCACTGGGGACATCCCACCCTGGTGTTCTCATGTGCAGTGGCTGGATTCTGGGCCAGCAGAGCAGGCAGCTGCTGGCTGACCCTTGCTCTGAGCCCTGCCAGAGCAGCCCCTGGGCTGTGGAGCTGGGGTCTGGATGGGTGAAGTGACATCCAACATGTGTGAAGCTGTCATGGAAGTGACATAGAAGTTAAACCTATGGTGCCAAACAGAGGGTGACTGTGCTGGCATCTCTAGGACTGCTTAGGAAAGCGAGGGTGTCTAGATGGGTTGCAGGTGACTTCTGTTACAGCAGCACCTAGAAGCTCATGTGTTTTGCAGACCTCACTGTCAGGAGCTGGAATAAGAGAGAAAGGAAGAGGGAAGGAGAGAACGCTGTTTTCTTTGCACAAGGGTGGCCCCGTGCCTTGCTGCAGGCACCAGCATTCAGGAGTCTCCCCCAACCCGGGGATGCCCAGGGCATCCATGTGTGGATGGATGTCAGTCCTCCCGTTCCCAGAAATGCCTGCCCTGTCCTGGAGGCCATCCCAGCTTCATTATTTTCTTAATCCCAGCCTTCATTCTTTTTTTAATCCCAGTGTTCACACAATGCACTTTGAACACAGGGCCGTGGCTGTGGTGGCTGCCTGCTGTGTGAAACGTGGGGTTTGCTGTGCAGTTTTTCCAGCCCCTTGCGTGCCTGTGGACGAGCAAGGGCATTAGTGTGTGAGAGCCTGGGCTGTACGTGGGGTGGGAGCAGGCTCCCTCACTGGCTCTCACTCTGAAAATAGCCATGTCTGCTTTACACATGCCTGCCTGGCAGCTCAGCTCCTGTAAAAGGAGAAAAAAAAAAAAAAAAAAAAGGCTTGGAAGTGGCAGGTTGCTCTGTGTCAAAGCCCTTAAAGAACCCAGGCGGGGAGAGCTGCCGGCGTGCTCCCGCAAGCTCTCATCTCCTCTGCCCAGGGCACTGCCACCGCACTAGGACCCGGAGCAGATGCCGCTCCCAGGGCGCTCGCTGGGACATGCCAAGTGCATGCTGTGTCTTCCCAAATATAGCCCTGCACACAGAGGTGGAGGCAGCTGCTCGGGCTGCGGGGACGGCCGGGCTCTGCTCCCCCCATGCTGCCCTTTGGGATCTGAAACCTCCCCGCTTCGTGCTGAGGACTAAATACTCAGCTGATACTGCATGGAGCGATGGTGGGGATGCGTTGATCCCCCAAAAGACCCCGTGTGCTGAGTGAAGGGGAAATCACGCCGCACTGCCCAGCTCGGCAGGCAGTGAGCCGGGGACACAGAGCCACGCTGCCCTGACCGGCAGGGCTGGCAGCTGGGAGGCTCCCAGGAATCTGTGAGCTGGGAACTTTTTACTTAGTTTGGAAATAGCTTTGCAAATGACTGGTTCTCACAAGCTAAACTGTTTGGATTTTGCATTGCTGTCTCAATAACTCAGCTGTATTTTTTCCTGTCCCAGCAGTCTGTGGAATAGTTTCTGGTTGGGGAAATATTTTTTCCATTTGCTTCATCATGAGATTGCTTTTGCCGCTCCACTTCCCTGTCCAGTTTCACTCCCTTATACTGCTGGAAGAAAAACCCGTGTCTGCCCTGAGGACGTCATCCCTCACTGCAGGCTGGAGGCTGTGCTGAGCCCACTGCCGGGCAAGGTGAGGCCAGAGCCAGGGTGCTCCTCTGGCATGGGCCACAGCACTGCTGCCTCACAGCTGAGATCCTTTAACAAGAAAACAGTTACCTTCTTCGGGTGCATTTATAGGTCTCTGTGATAATTGCACATTTTGAAGTCATGCCTCTTTGGCTATAGCCCCAGCTCAGGCAGCAGGTGAAGCAGGAAGGGTTAAAATTATTTTTAATTAACTGATTTCCTTGGTCCCACCTGCTGTAAGAGTATACAGTCCTGGCACCCTGGCAGTGTGCTAACCCAGCCAGGCTGCGACTGCGCGTGCCCAGGCATCCTGGCAGGCAGGAGGGATGGTTTACACTCTCCTTTCCCCATGCTTTGCTGCAGGGAAGCAGCAGGAGCACTGTAACCCTCTCAGCAAAACCACTGCAGGAGCCCGGGTAGGGCTTATACCCACGGCAGGGGCATTGCAGAGCCGCGTGCACGGTGCAGGAGCGAGCTGGCAGCTTCCCCACGCAGCAGGGAGCAGAGCAAATCCCAGCAGAGGAGCTTGCGCTCCAGTCCAAGCCTCTGCTGGGAATTTGTGTTTGCTCTGGCTGGGAAGCACCCAGTCAGAAGCGGGGTGAAAAGCAACCATCTCCCTGCACGCTTCCTCCCCTGCTGCTGCGTCTGCTGCAGGGTGGTGGTACCGGAGGCAGGGGAGCAAAGAACGCTCCAGAAAAACAACCTCCCTTGCCCAAAATAGCTCACAAAATGGTTGCTGGCCTGGTGGTGGTGAGCACAGCCGGTTTGCACCACGGCCTCTGCCCTTTGTGCCGGCGCAGAGGCCACGGTGCAAACCAACCCCCTCCCCGCCGCCACGCCAGCCCACCAGCAAACATCCCCGGTGCCCCAGTTCACCACCACCAGGTCTCCGTGGCACAGGCTGTAATTATCTTGTGTTTGCAGCCTGACCACGGGGTGTTCGCCTGTAATTAGCTCTGGGGATTTAGGAGCTCGTATGATCTGGGGTCATCATAAGCCACCAGAGCCGTGCTGGGATTTAAAGGGACGATGCGGCTATTTGCATATCTACCGCCTCGGTGTGCTGCGGCCGTCGTCTGATGCGTTAAATAGAAAGATGAGTCCCTCCCCAAAGCCTGTGCATGTCCTCGCCCTGTCATGGATGCCTTTTTGGGCAGAGACGATGCGGTTCCAAGCAAAGCAGGAGAGCTTGCGAATATTTCCACCAGGTCTTGTCCTTGTTGTCACCTCAGTTTTGGTGACAACCCAGCTCAGTGCTCTCAGTACATGCTATAGGCAGCCCCTATAGCTCTGCACTGCCCACTGCTTTCCCTTGTAAGCTGTCATTCCCCATGTGCAAGCTCCCCAGCCCTGCCACTGCCGTCCCCCCGACTCTGCTCCTCACCCCAGGGGTCTCAGGCGGGGGTCCCAATGTGCCCGATGCTGGCTTGGGCGCGTACTCACGGGGTCTAGGGAAGGCGAGGCAGGGCAGCACGCCAGCCCGCGTCCATCTGCGCTTCTCCGCGGTCCCTCTGATTTCGCCTCCTTCCCTCGCCTGTGACACTCCAGTGGGCAAAAATAAACCCAAAACACGTGCCGCCTTCCGGGAAGTGATGCCAGGGGCCAAGCAGCCCCAGTGCCCTGGGCACAGCCCTCACTCAGGGGCTCCCAGTGGCACCAGTGGCACTAGATGGTCCAGCCCAACACGGTGCTGGGGCACAGTCCAGTAGCAGCTCCGGCGAGGAACATCTCCAGTTATCCACCAAGATAATAAATTCTGCCTTAGAGTTTCTCACCTGGCAACAGTCACCAAGGAAACCTGGACGGCTGCTGCGGGTCTCCACTGGCACTGCCCGGGGGGGGTCCCCACAGCGCTGGCAGGGGGGCTCTGGCTGCACCCCGGCCGGCCGGCTACACAGGCGAAAGGCCAGCTGCCTGCTCTGTAACCTGAGCCCAGGCCCGGCAAAATGCCCATCGATCTGGGCTTGGCCCTCACACCGCCTCTCTGGAGTCGAGTGTGGGTTTCACCAGTTTTGAGGTGGTTTTTGAGGTTTTCCCAGCCATACGTCTGCATCAGGAGGGGCAACCTGGAGCTGCCTCAGGCACCCAGGGAGTTTCCCTGTCAACGGCGATGGTTTGGCCGGGGATTAAAAGCAGCAGGGCCCAAGTGCTCAGAGATCTCTGGAAATCCATAGGTGTCAGAGGGAGACCAGCTCTTGCTGCCCCTCAAGGAGGCCATGCCACTGCATCCAGGGCTGCCTGCCACATGGTGCTTCCTTATTTATAGCACTCGTGGTCATTTCGCCAGCCCCTTGCTGCCTGCAAACCTGGTGCGGCCGCTGGTCCCAGCAGGCTGCTGGCACAGACACAGGAGGAACCGGGAAAAGCCATCAGGCTGGGGACAGGGCTCTCTCCCTGGGCCAGGCTAAGGCAGCTGAGGTGCAGGCACTGCCCCACCACCAGCGACATGGGGGGTAAACAGTCACCCCAAATATTGTTTCAAGTGGCTGTGATATCAGTATGGAAACTCCCTCCATCAATCATTAACCACACATGGCTCCAGGCCCGTGGCATGGCTCCAGGGCAACTCCCTCGCCCAGGGGAGGGGGTCAAACATTCCAGCAGTATGCAGGGTTGGAGAGAGAGGCCATACCCAGCCTGGGCTTGCACCTCTGGGGCCATCCCGGAGCTGTGGGTCACCTGGCAGCATCTCAGCATCCTCGGCTCATGGCTGGGTCTCAGCTGACCAAGGTAGTGCTGCTGGCACTGGTAGTTCAGCATGGACCTTTGTGAGCCAGCGGGATCTCTCTTTGGTCCCCCGTGAGCTTTTGGAGGATCTCATGTCCTTGTTCCTCCAGACCCACTCACCCACAGCTCCTGCAGCTCAGACATCCCCGTGTGGCCTCTTCTCCTTTGCACACAACAGCGGCAGCGTGCCAGGGAGGGCAGCCCCGGCTGGGGAAAGCAGCAGGAAACCTGAGGAGCAAGATAAGAGCTTCAGGGTTGCAGATCAAGGAGTTGGGGTTTTTTTTGGCTTCGCTCCCTGCGCCATTGTCCAAAGGTCCCCACCACCTCCGTGCTCCCATCCAGGTGCCTGCTCAGGCTGGTTGATATTTTGGTTTCAAGCAGCACAGGACCTGCTGCTGCTCAGGGGATGCCTTATCAGGCCATGAAATACAATCAGTGAGTGGTGATGTCCCCCAGCCCCGTGCAGAGGGGACCCCAGGGTGGGCAGCAGAGCCATGCACACTCTGCAGGGGCTGCAAAGAAACATCTACGCAGAGACTAGGCAGCGAGGAGCCAGGAACGCAGTTCCTTAGAGGAGACACTAATTCAGCTGGAAACCCCACGTGGGCTGTCAGGTGATGTTCCCACCACAAGTCATTTAAGCCAGCGATGGAAGCACGAGGCTGCCCAGAGCTGTGTGGGTAATGCAGTGCCATGTCCTGCTGCCCAGCATGGTGAGCTGCCCTGCAGCACTCCATGTCCCAGAGGCCACCCGCCTGGGCCGACCCACCAGGATTAAAGAGGTTGTGAGGAGTAAGTAATTTAAATCCAGATTAGATTTAAGCAGCTGCTAGGAAAAGGGGATGTGAGCAGGGGCCACGCAGTGGGGACGAGCGGGTGAGAGCCTGACTGGACTCCTGCCATGCAAGGAGGGGCTGCTGGGGCAGGGCCTGGCTGGGGGGTCCGTGCCCGGGGGGTATTGCCCACGGGGCTGGGGTTTGTCCCCAGGCTTGGCTTGTGTGCAGCAGGCTGGAGGCAGCAGCTCCCCACCATGAGGGGAGATGCTCCCTGCCATGGGGAGAAAGCCCAGGCAGGACGAAGCACAGAGACACGCCGGACTGCTCGCTTCGTAGGTGCCGAAGAGAGGCCATCCCTCCGCGCAGGGCTGCCGAGCATGTTCCACCTCTTCTCCCACTGCTGGTCGTGGCTGCAGGCCATACAGGAACCCATCAGGTAGGTCCCCGTGCCCATCCCTTTGGGGTCCCTGCAGGGCACAACATTTACCTACGTGTTTACCAGTGAGGGCACTGGTGTGGTAACACTAGGAGAGAGGCGCCCATTGCAGGAACCGTCCCCAAACCGCAGGGCAGGGCCTCGCCACCCCTCCAGCAGGCAGGAGCTGGGCAGGCAGGGGAGCGTGGCGGGCAGGGGTGCGCATGCAGGAACACTCCCGGTGGGATTCCCCCTGTGCAAAGTCAGCAGCTCCCCAAGAAAGCTGAGGAGGATGAACTGAAACACCTGCCGTGTTTGCCTGTGTTGGGAGGCATTCCGGGTTCATTCCCCGGGAATGGCACTGCACCCGCCTGGGCAGACTCTGCGGGCGGCAGGGGGGTTTATGGCCCTCTCCTACCAGCCAGGATGTGTCCCGTGATGTGGGAGGTGGAGCCGCCCTGCCCACACAGCCTGGTCTGTATGGTTTAGGAAGAAAACAATGCTGCTAATTACTACGATGGCTTGTCAAGCAAAAGGCAAAAGTTCTGTGCGTGGCTTCGGTGGAGCACGTCACTGGAGACCAAATAGGACTGTTTAGCAGCAGGAAAAACCTCCTGAGTCCAAGCAGAAGCTTGTAAAATGTCCTTACTACCTCTCCCTAGCTGTGTATCCCCATAACTGACTGACAAGGAGGGACACCAAGAGCAATCATTAACTGGTTGCATATAAGGAACAACCGTTTTGGACTGTGCATATCATGCTTAATCCTATATGACATGAAAAGAAATCCTTGCCGTGGGAAGCACATTGAAGGCCCCACAGTGCGGCTGTCCCGCGGTGCAGGGCTGGCTCCGGGTACCTGTGCACGCCCTCTTCTCCCTCTCCTGGGCACCTGGGACTGTTTGCTTTCACCCCCAGCTCTGCCAGAGCCTGTGACACCATCCTGCCCCTCTCCTAGCCCAGGCACGATCACCACCCACAGGGTGTCTTGTCTGGGAGCCCTGGGGCCAGCAGTGGTCACCGCTCCCCAGACAGCACAGCCTTTCCTGGGGATGCTCACCCCCTGTTGTCACTCCCCAGGAAGGTGACCCTCCTCGTCCTGGGGCTGGACAATGCGGGGAAAACCTCCGTCATCATGGACATAGAGAGAGGTGAGGAGCAGCACAGCCCCAGAGCCGGCCTCGGCTGGAGGCAGCAGCTTTATCGACCTTTGCAACCAAGTGCTCGAGCCTTGAAGGACCGAGACCCTTGAAATAACAGCAGCTGTGCTGGGGGAAGTGTGCAGGGCACCGGCTGTGGCCTGGGCAGCGCTGGGAGCGGGATGTGACTGGGGGAGGAGGGGGGACACGCCGCAGGGATGCTCCCGGGCTCCCTGCGCCAGCTCTCTGCCCTCTCCCCCACGCAGCGCTGGGCGGCGAGGTGCTGCCTGTGGGGCAGCCCGGCCAGACCCGCCTGCGGGTGGACAGGTTCGAGGTGACGCTGGTGGACCTGCCCGGGGGCCAGCGCTCCCGCAGCGCCTGGCGCAGCCACTACAGCGCGGCCCACGGGCTCCTCTTCGTCCTGGACTCCAGTGACCTGGCGCGGATGGAGGAGGCCCGCAAGGTCCTGAGCCGCGTCCTGAGCCATCCCGACATCTCTGGGAAGCCGATCTTACTGTAAGGCCGAGTCCCTGGGATGTGACTTGTCAGGTTTGGGGTGGCGGGTGGGGGGGAATGGGAACTTGTTGCTGGGGTTGTGGGGCACGTGGCCGAGCTGCTGCGGGGATGTGCACCGGTCCCGTTATCTCCGTTAGTTTTGCTTGCAGGTTGGCTGAGAGCAGAGCGGGGTCCTGGGGGTCTGTCCAGGAAAGAGGAACATCTCTGAGCATCTCCGCAGGGGCTGATGCATGGAGGTGATGGAGGACTGCAGACGCGCCAGCAGCAGTCCTCTCCGCTGGTTTGGTGACAAACACATCCTTGCTCAGATGCGGTGCCTGAAATTTTGTATTTCTCCATCCAGCGCAGGGCATGAAAAAGAAAAAGAAGAGGAAAATCAAGAATAAAATCAAGAACCAGGAGCCTGCTGTGGAGCAGCAGCGTGAGGAGGTCTCAAGCACCTTTGGTTCGTATTTCCCAGGCCAAATTTTGCTGAAAAGCACCAGGGGGCCTGGCCTGCTGGCAGCAGGGTATGAGCTGTGCAGGAGCCCTTGGCCATGGGGTGCTCGATGTGGGGACAGGCACAAGCAAGTGCTGCTGCAGGGCAAGGTGGGGGCTGTGGGGAAGGCAGATGCTGCTGCCTCTGCCTTCTGGTGGGGTGCAGGGAGGCCACACGAGTGCACTGTGCTGGAGCCTGGGGTGTCCTTGCAGCCCCCACTCAGCACAGGCTGGCCCCTGTGTTAGTGTCTGACCGCTTCCCTTCCTCCCCAGACTTGTACCGCCAGGCAATACTGGCTCTGAAGATGAGGCAGGAGCAGAGGAAGCAGCCGTCTGCCATCGCCCCCTGAGCAGGGAAGGCACATCCCGGGGGATGTGTGGTCCCAGGGGACCACAGACTGCAGTGACAACACACTCATGCAGGGTTTCTGGGGTGCTTGGCCAGGGCTGGCAGTCCTGGGCAACAAGTTCTGGGTCATGAACAGCATCGTAGTCCTCTGCATGGCTTGAAAACCAGGGATCTGCAGGAGCGAGCCAAAAGTCCCTTTGTAAGATGTCTCTCTGGCAGCGGGGCTGCAAACCCACTTGAAAAGGGAATTGCCAGCCACTTGCTGACCCCGTGTTAGTATTCTGTGGAAGATTCGTTCTGAACCCAACAGAGTCTATGGAAGAGAGGAAGATCAGAGCAAATGCCCAGGGGAAAAGCCTGTATCTTGAATTGCTCTATGACCAGGCAAGCTGTCTTCACAGGTCAGGGCCTGACTTGGCCCCTCATTCAGTCCCTGGCTGCTGCCTGGACAAGTCTCATTTCTTGCTAGTGAAGATGGGAAGACAGTCACAGGATGGTCTGCAGAAGAGCTTCACCCGGCCCCCAGCCACCTCTGGCAGGGCTGTCAGGAGCTCCCTCACACAGTGGAGGAGGGTGATGCCCATGCGGTCTGAGCATCTTTGCAGCCTGTCAGTGAAGGTTTAGTTCAGTGGCAGCTGGTGGTGGAGGCTGCTGGAGGCTCTTTCCCCAGGATCGTTCCTCCTGATCCTGCCATCCTCCCAGGAAGGACAGTGGTCACCTGCAGGTGACACCAAATCCTCCCATGTCACTGACAGACTGGCACCCTGAAGCCCCAGGCAGTCCCTGATCTATGTTCAGCTCAGTTCTGAGACAGGACAACGAGCAGCATCTGCATCCCAACACAACCCGTCTGTGACATGCATCGTGTCTGGCAAAGCTGTGGTGTCGCGGGGACTGGGTCATGCCAGAGAGCTCGTACTGCCTGGCTCTGTCTGAGTGCTCAAGCAGGGAAACCAACCGTTGGCCCTGGAAACACTTACGTGAAGTCAGGAGTGCAGCAGTTTTTTTTCTCCATAGCTCCAACAGCGTGAGTCATCTCTGATTAACAGGCGATGCCTTTGTGGTCCAGGGAAGAAAAATCACTAAAGCCCTTCCCTCAGCAGGGCTGAAAAGAAAGGAAACTCTCGCTCCTCTGCCTTGCCAGTCCGCTGTAAAGTTCTGTCTAACTGCCAGATTCAACTGTCAGTGACTATTGGGATTAACTGTAAATAAATTGTAAATAACAAGAGCACAAATTAATTCTGGCCTGTAAATACAGCACTTTAAGTAAACTTTTCTCTGTCTGGTGGAGATCCCTGTGGTGCTGGTGCTGTGGGCGATGTGGGAGGGCAAAGTGGGGACCTGTGCCTGTGGCGGAGCCCCTTCTCCCGGGGTGGGTCAGGTCCATTTGCGTCCCCGCGGGGGCCAGCCCAGGCTTCTTCCGCGGGGGTCACGGATGTCAGCGGGGCCATGGGGAGAGAAACATTAACACTTTATCCTCTTTAAACGCCTCCTTCTCACACACCCACTGGGTCTGGGAAGAGGCAGTTGTTGCTGGCACCCCAGGCCAGCCCATGGCCATGCTGGGACTGAGCCTCGCTCGCTGCAGCTCCAAAATCGTGTGGGGAGAGGGAGCTGAGCGGGTTTGGGAGCGTCCGGCAGCCAACTGCCTCTGGTGCTCCCTGTGGCTCCTGGCAGTGTGGCTCCTCAGCACGGATGTCGGCAGCCATGTGGGGACACAGCATGACAAAACTGGAGAAGAGACCCAGTGAGACAAGTCCAGAGGCAGAACTGGCCCAGCTGGTGCTGCTGGGCAGCTGAATGAAACTTCCCCTGGGAGCCAGCTGTAAGAAACCGGTTAGGTTGATCTAACGCACTTTCCCCTAACATAACAATCTCAAGTGAGTGGTGCAGACAGGCAGTTCAAATATTTGAAAATCAAACTCCCTTATCCTGGTGTTTCTATGGCTGCAGAGCAGCTGATCCCTACTACAATCAGGAATACAACTTTTATCTTCTTTAAGAAGTGAGCAGCAACAACTGCATGTTAAAAATGGTCTATCTCCAAGCCAGAAACATCTCAGAAATGAGATCTTGAGATCTATGTGATCAGACATAAACCAAAACATATTAATTACTCATGTCATAAAGTAATGGGCTGGGTTGCTCCTGCCATGCGTGAAAAGCAGGGGCTGTAGCAGGGGGTGCACGCCTGGGGCAGGCAGGGTGGGGAAAGCTCCTTTTCCATCATTTTCCTCCTGCTATTCATCTTACAGCCCAAAAGCTGGATAACCAGCAAGGGGAGGTCTCTGGGAGGTATGGTCCTCGGTGGCCCTGCCTGCTGCCAGCCCGGTGAGGTGCAGCTCTGCCCAGGCCGGTCCCAGCGTGTCCGATCTGCTGGCGGGTGCACCGAGGCCAGGCGTGGTGCCCAGCAGCGGTGCTTGCCTTGAGGAGACATCCCCAAAAATGAGGTGATGTGGCACCCTCCCAAGAATCTTGGGTTTGTTGGAAAGCACTGGAACTCCAAATATGCCAAGAAACACGAAGCGATGCAACAGCAACTGCCCCGGGGAGGCCCATCCTCTGTCTACTGATGCAGAAAGTAAAAGCTATCAACAGCATTTTCTTCAGGGAGGACTGGAGCCAGCTGGGTGATGCAACTGTGCTTTGCATTTAAGTATTTTTGTATTATCTAGCACATCCTTCTTTTCAGGTTTCCAGAGGAGCTGTCTCCAGAGGACTGGCTTAGGCAAAACCTGGTTCCTGCTTATCCACGAGCATTTTTGTGATGCCTCAGCCTGGGCTGCAGCTGCATTTGTTGCAAAGTGGTGATGCAGAAGCGTGCGTGAGTTTTGTGTGTCTGCAGTCCACTTCCCCTCAGTGGTGTTTCTTCAGGCAAACTGCGGCTCCTGTCATGACTCTGTCCATGGCATGTGTCATTCTAAGCCTGAAGAAGAGAGGGAGGGAGGGAGGGAGGGAGGGAGGCTGCACTTGTCCGAGCTTTGCAAAAGTTGGTGAAGGTTTATTTGGTGCCAGGAGGAGACTAAGAGATGTTTCAATGAGTGCCTGTGGGCATACACCTACACTAGGGCACAGCTGGTCCCACCTCCTCATACATTGCTTTGCACAATAGGATTTTTTCCTGATGCCTGTTATCACTATCAAAATTTAATTGCATGGGCTGAAATTTGAAGGGTAGGAGAGAGATTATTGCTCCTTTGGGAAGTGGGGTGGGAAGAGCAGTGCTTGGTCAGTGGTAAAAAAGCTGCCAAGTGCTCCTGTGTACACACATCAAGCTTTCCAGACAGCAGGAAGACCTGGAGGACAGCCTGGCAGAAGGGACCATGCAGCGAGACTGCGGCCCCTCCACCTGCACCCATGGCCCTGCTGTGCTTTTGCCCACTTCTTTATGCTTTGCTTTCTGCCCACTGTCTGGGCTTAGCCAGCAATTACTTTTTATTTTTTAACCCCTTCTTGCTCCTCTCTACCCCCAGGAGAGGATGGGGAAGGAGACATTGACTCTGAGAGCCCCTCTTAGAGCCCTTAACTTGTGCCACAAATGTGGACAGAGCAGGAGGTTCCCCCCATGGCAAGCTAGTGTTAAGATGCACAGGTATCTCTCCTGTATTTTTATATTATCTAGCACATCCTTCTTTTCAGGTTTCCAGAGGAGCTGTCTCCAGAGGACTGGGTTAGGCAAAACCTGGTTACTGCTTCCACAAGCATTTTCATGATGCGTCAGCCCAGGCTGCGGCTGCATTTGTTGCAAAGTGGTGATGCAGAAGTGTGAGTGAGTATTGACATTCACTATCATATTTTATTTATAAAAACTCAATTGTGTATTTTTCCCCCTAGACGAGCCTTTCTAGGGGAGTGTGAGCCCCTGTGGGTCATTTCCAGCTTTTGGATGCAGAGATCCTTTGGGACTCAGCCTTCTTCATGCCAGCAGTGAGGATGCCCCACACTCGGAGGGGTAGGACAGGGAAGGTGACCCCAGTCCCAGGGTGCTCCACATATTGGGGAGCTGTAGGGTGGCATGACCCAGCAGCAACTAGGCCTGGCGAGGGAAAACAACTGAGACAGATTTGTGACTGTGAAAAAATGTGATGGTTCTTTGTCAACTCCTTCACTAACCCCAAATTACAGAAGTAGTCTTTGAGAGAACTCCAAAAACTACAGGAAGTTGTTTTAGAGAGAGCTTTCCATACACTGGAGATTGGACATTGATTTAGGACTGTAAAGGCAATTAATTGCAAATGAGAGTGATTCTTGCTAATTGGTGTTTTGCAAGGCAAATGCAATGGGTCACATCTTGTGGGGTGCCTTCAGCTGTTCCTCATTCCCCTCCAGCCTCTCTGTAAACCCCATCACGTGTTGTAGGGCATATATATAGCTAGGGCAAGCCTGGGGCTTTCCTGGGGATGGAGCCTGGAATGGTGAAATTTTTTTTGTATACAGCTCTTCTCTCTCTGTTCTGGACCAAAGGTAAAACCAAAAACTGTCTTGCCTCCCCTGCAGCAGCCTCTGCTCCCTGGCTTTGCCGTTCTTTGGGATAAGGCTGGAGGTATCACAAATGTGCTGATCGGGCAGTGCTAAGGTGTGGGCCTCTTTCTCAGATTACGCTGTTGCTAAAGGCTGTTTACAGTATGTATATACTTAAATAAATATCTATGAGTAAGGCTAGTGTATTTTAAACCTTGGAATGGATATTTGAGTTGATAAAAGCCTGGAGTGGATGTGGTTTTGAGCTTGAGAAGTTGGTTGTTATGTACACTTTCTCATGCTTGAAGCTCCTACCCTCTGACTCAGGTGGGCTGTGTGCCAGCATGCTCTTGTGGCAGTTTCCTAGCTGAGTCAGAAAAAGAAGTGTTGGGAAAGACTTCATTTTTTTTTTTTTCTGGGTAAGCACACTAGGGCACAGCTGATTTCCTTGAGATCATTCAAAATACTGAGATGAAAAATGCTGGCATGTGGTATTGGGCAGATTTTGCCCCCCTCCAGCTCTTGGAGGCTGCACATATTGAGTAATGAATAACTGCATAGGGTTGCTTTTGGATTTTTGTTATCAGTTGTAGATCCTCCGTTGTATTGCGTTAAAAAGGAGAGCTGGAGCGTTTTCTGTCATGTACTCTGCAGAATTCTTAGAAAAAATAAGGCTTAATTAGGTGAGAGTAACTTCCCAAGACTCTCTGGATTGTTACGAAAGAGGCTATTAAGACTTTGCAGGGAAAGAGAAGATAAGGACTGGAAATTAAGAAAATATGAAAATTCCCTTTTCTAGGTTAAATGAGCCTTGTTGGAGACATTATTGCTGTCAGGAGGAGGAAGGCTATAATCAAATTTATTTAATGGATATATTTGTCTCAAGGCACAAGGGAATGTGCTAGAATCTGAGGTATATATATTTGTCACATCATGTACCAAATATATTTGTGCTTTTTTTCACCTCTTATAAAAAGCTTGTTTTTAAAAAGGGAAATTCTGTTAACTAAAATTGGTAGTCTTTCTCTTTCATAAATTAACACTCTCTAAGTCACTGCATATTTGAAGAGGTTATTTCCAACTATAAGGGGAAAGTGCCTCTGGAGAAAGACTATCAGTGTATTAATTAGAAGGGCTTTTGCTACAGTATATCACTGGATGTGGAATCAAGAGGCAATTTATTAGCCAAAAGCTTTCATTTTAAAGTCTTCTGCAGCAATCAGAACTCAGGCCTTGTCTGTGAGAGAACTTTCACCTTATTAAACTGCGTTTATATCTCAGTGCAGCTGGGTTTAGCAAGACTCCAAATCCCTGGCCTGTGATTTAAGTCCTTTTCTTGCTACCCAAGTACAGCTGTAGGAAGAGGTTTTAGGGGTGGTTTTGTAGGTATTCTGTAGGTTTTTTTACTGGGTTATATTCATAGGTTGCAAGGAATAACTGCTGCACAGGCTTGCAGCTACCAGCATCTGAACCTGTGCCCTGCTCTAGCAAAGAAAGCTGCTGGTGGAGTGATAAATTGATTTAAAATGGACTTGGGGTGGAGAAAAACATGTGCAGATCCCCTTGCTTAACAGGCCCTGCAGTGTGGATGCTGCTGCTGAGTCAACTCTGTAGTGCTCAGTGCAGGCTTTGAACTTGCCTCTTCTTTCCTTTTCCCAGGAAGGCTGGGGGAAAGCTCAGAGCACTCCCTGGGAGGTCCCTGCTGCAGGTTGCGACTTCCCAGAGGAATTCATAAGTACGAAGCAGAAGTTTTTGGCACAGGCTGCGAAGCAGGACTTTGGAAACTGGCACTGCGTGATGCTCTCCACTG